GTTTGAAAATTGGAAAGTTCAAAAAAAATGTATAACAAGTTTGAAATTTGAAAGTGAAATGTCAAAAACGTTTGAGAAATTGGGAACTAATGAAAATTTGGAAAGTTTGGAGCACTAGGCAGAAAAAAAACCAATCAACTTATGTCAAAATGAAAATAAAAACAAATTTAAAAAAATTAAAGTTATGAAAAGAAAAAAAACCAATCAACTTATGTCAAAATGAAAATAAAAACAAATTTAAAAAAATTAAAGTTATGAAAACTTGGAAACAAGTTTCAAAAATTGGAAAGTTATAAAAACTTAAAAGATTAAGAAATTGGAAAGTTTGCAAATAATGTGAACATGTGAAAAAAAATATTTCAAATTTTCATGAAAGTTATGTTATTTATTTACACTGTTGAAAACTTTTCAAAGTTAAGACCTTTCTATAAAATATAAAAGCCTAAAAATAATCTGAGATTGGAAAGTTATGAAAACTTAAAAAAAATGGTGAATATTAAAGGGAATTGATAAAAGTTTTAAAAAATTGATAAAAGTTTTGAAAAATTGATAAAAGTGTAATAAACTAGAAATTTTGGAGAACTAAGAAAAATGAAAAACAAGTAGACAAATGTCAAAGTAAAAAAAAATGGACATTTATAAAAAACTTGTAAAGTTGTAATATCTTAAATATTTTTTAAGAAATTGGAACGTTTGAAAATTAAAGTGAAATTCAAAAAATATTGAGAAAGGGAAATATATGCAAACTTGAATGTTTGAAAATTGGAAAGTTCAAAAAAAAATGTATAACAAGTTTGAAATTTGAAAGTGAAACGTCAAAAACGTTTGAGAAATTGGAAACAAATGAAAATTTGGAAAGTTTGGAAACAAAAGTGAAATGTCCAAAAGTTTGAGAAATTGGGAAGTTTAAAAACTTGAAAAAGGTTTAATAAATTGGAAAGTTCGGAGCACTAGGCGGAAAAAAAACCAATCAACTTATGTCAAAATGAAAATAAAAATAAATTTAAAAAATCGGAGCACTAGGCGGAAAAAAAACCAATCAACTTATGTCAAAATGAAAATAAAAATAAATTTAAAAAATTTAAAGTTATGAAAACTTGGAAACAAGTTTCAAAGATTGGAAAGTTATAAAAACTTAAAAGATTAAGAAATTGGGAAGTTTGCAAATAATGTGAACATGTGAAAATAATATTTGAAATTTTCATGAAAGTTATGTTATTTATTTACACTGTTGAAAACTTTTCAAAGTTAAGGCCTTTCTATAATAATATATAAAACCCTGAAAATAATCTGAGATTGGAAAGTTATGAAAACTTGAAAAAAAAAATTGGAGAAGGGTGGAAAGTTATAAGAACTTGAAAAAAGTTTGTGAAATTGGAATGTTTAACAGAAATGTAAACATGTGAAATTGTATTCGAAAATTAGTAAAAGTCAAAAACAAAATAGCAAAACAAATTTTAAAAATTGTTTACATGAAAATGTAAACATGTTAAAATGTATTTGAAAATATGTGAAAGATATATTAACTCTCCAAGATTAACTCTATTTATAAACTACAAAAACTTAATAAAAAGAAAATTGTTTACATGAAAATGAAAATAATACTTATTTATAAACTTAAAGTGAAATCCCAAGAAACTTCGAGAAATTGGCAATTTATGAGAAAATTTTCTTTAAAGTTGTGAAAATGGAAAGCTTAAAAAATGTAAACATGTTAAAATGTATTTGGAAATATGTGAAAGATATTTTAACTCTCCAAGATTAACTCTATTTATAAACTACAAAAACTTATTAAAAGGTTATAATATTGGAAAGTTTTTGAAAACTTGAAAAAAGTTTAAAAAAATGTGAACATACGAAAATGGTATTTAAAACTTAACTAAAAGTAAATTTTTTATATAAAATATTGAGAACTTTTTGAAATAGGAAATTTTAAGGTAAACGTGAAATGCCAAAACAGTTTTGAGAATTTGGAAGGTTACAAAAACTTGAAAAAAGTTTAAAAAAATAGAAAGTAAGAAAATTAAAGTGGATCGTCAAAAAAGTTTGAAATTTTGGAAAGCTTTGAAAATTTAAAAAAAAATTTGGAAAAAAGGGAAGTTTGAGAAATAAAGTAAACAAATGAAAATGAAATTTGGAAATTTTAGAAAATAACTTTATAACTAATCCGTGAAAACTTTTCAAAATTATAATGTTATAAAATAACTAACGCTAATTTATAAAACAGAAAAACTTAATAAAAGTTTTTGAAAATGGAAAGCTTAAAAGTTTAAATGAAATGTCAAGTGTTAGAGAAACTGGAAAGTTTTTTAAATTTGAAAAAGTTTGGAAAAATATGAACATGTGAAAATAGTATTTTTTAACTTTTGTGAAAGTAAATTTTTTATTTAAAATATTAAAAAGTTTTCAAAATAGGAAATTTTAAAGTAAAAGTGAAATGCCAAAAAAGTTTTGAGAATTTCAAAAGTTTACCAAAACTTGAAAAAAGTTTGAAATTTTGGATAGTAAGAAAACTAAAGCAGATTGTCAAAAGAGTTTGGAAATTTGAAAAGATTTGAAAACTTCAAAAAAGTTTGGAAATAAAGGAAAGTTCGGAAAAAGAAAAGTAAACATATGAAAATGATATTAGAAAACTTTGGAAAATAACTTCATAACTAATCCGTTGAAAACTTTTTAAACATTATAATATTGTAAAATGACTAATCAGCTGAATACTTTTTGAAATTAGAATAATGTAAACTATCAAAAAAATTTGAAAAATTGTAAAATTATGACAAACTGAAAAATGTTTAAGAAATTAGAAAACTTCAAAATTAAAGGGAAATGACAAAAGTTTTGAAAATTTGATAAAAGTGTAATAAACTAGAAATTTTGGAGAACTAAGAAAATTGCAAAACAAGTAGACAAATGTCAAAGTAAAAAAAGGACATTTATAAAAAACTTGTAAAGTTATAATATCTTGAATATTTTTTAAGAAATTGGAAAGTTTGAAAATTAAAGTGAAATTCAAAAAATATTGAGAAAGGGAAATATATGCAAACTTGAATGTTTGAAAATTGGAAAGTTCAAAAAAAAGTATAACAAGTTTGAAATTTGAAAATTTTTTGAAAGATATAATATAAATTTATAATTTAAACAGCGAAAATCCTTTCAAACTTGAAATTTATAATTTAGACTGATAAAAACCCTTCAAACTTGAAAAGGTTTGAGAAACAAGAAAGTTTGAAAAATTGGATAAAGTGAAATGTCAAAAAAGTTGGAAAATTTGGGAAGTTTGAGAAATTGGAAAATTTATAACATAAAAGTGAAATGTTAAAAAAAATGGAGATGTTGGAGAACTAAGCCAAACGCAAAAACAAGTTTATGTCATAGATTTAAAAGAAGAAACTTGAAAAAGATTTAAAAAGCTTGAGAAATTTGAAGTTTCAAAATTAAAGTGAACTCTCAAAAAGGTTGAGAAATTGAAAAGTTATGAGAACTTGAACGAGGTTTGAGAAATTGGAAAGTTTGGAAAAGATGTAAACATGTGAGAACGGCATTTCAAAATTTGTGAAAGTTATATTAATCAATTAAAACATGGAAAACTTTTTCAAAATTAAGACTTCTCATATAAAATTTTGAAAGAAGTTTGAGAAATTGGAAAGCAAGAAAATTAAAGCAAAATGTCAAAGAAGTTTGAGAAATTGGAAAGTTCTGAGAACTTTAATTTTTTTTAAAAATTGTTAGTTATTTTATTATTTAAACTGTTAAAAACTTTTTGAAATTGGAAATTTTAGAAGTGAAATGTCAAAAACGTTTGAGAAATTTGAAACTAATGAAAGTTTGGAAACTAAAGTTAAATGTCCAAAAGTTTGAGAAATTGGGAAGTTTAAAAACTTGAAAAAGGTTTAATAAATTGGAAAGTTTGGAGCACTAGGCGAAATATAAAAAACCAGTCAACTTATGTCAAAATGAAAATAATGTGAACATGTGAAAATAATATTTAAAATTTTCATGAAAGTTATGTTAATTATTTAAACTTTTGAAAATTTTTCAAAGTTAAGACCTTTCTATAAAATATAAAAACCTGAAAATAATCTGAGATTGGAAAGTTAAGAAAACTTGAAAAAAAAATAGGAGAAGGGTGGAAAGTTATGAGAACTTGAAAAAAGTTTGTGAAATTGGAATGTTTAACAGAAATGTAAACATGTGAAATTGTATTCGAAAATTAGTAAAAGTCAAAAACAAAATAGCAAAACAAATTTTAAAATTTGTTTACATAAAAATGAAAATAATACTTATTTATAAACTTAAAAGACATGAATAGTATTTTAGATAATATGGTAATGAATAATTCGTGAGGAAACAATATTGGAAGATCATTTATAGATTAAATGTAAACCAAGCAACCATGCAGTATGGAAAGATGGTGAAAAATCATCGAGAAAGACAACACAGGCACTAAACAGCAGTTAGAAAATGCAAAAAACATATAAAAAGTGAAAAATGTCATTGGAAAACTTGAAACTTCTAAGGAATTTGCAAGTTACAGTAGTGCATAGTTTAAATTGGTTCGAAAGCATATGGAAGAGTCAAATAACTTTTCATGAGATTATGAAGAAAGAAAGGCCACAGATTTGAAGACTTCTAACAATTACAGAATGAAAAGTATAATAAACTGAAATGATAATTAGAAAAAAGCATAAGTATTTGGATATTATAGTAAGATTCCCTTAACATTTGTTGAAACTTGGAACTTTTGAAAACTTTTCAAAATCAAAACTTCTTTTAAGTTCAGAAAAGGCTAAAATACCAAATTGGTATATTTATACGAACGTTTTTGTCAGTTTGGTATTTTTAAAAACTCCGACGACGACAAGGCATTAAAACTCGTACTTTTTCTCAATAAGGCACTTTTCTCTCTTATCTCCCAAAATTATTAAATATGTGTCCTCTCTCTCCTCCTCCTCCTCCTCCTCTCCCATTCCCCTCTCCCTCCAACGCACCATCGTCATCCTCCTCTCCTCCGTCCCCATCTCCCTCCTCTTGATTCCATCCTCAGCCATAATCAGAATCCACCAGCAACTGATGATACGCTGAACCCTTTCCTGACCAACAAATCTGATGGCAAAGGCTGAACGACGAATCAAATTCTCGAATAATGTCAGGCGATGGAAATTAAAAAAGAACAGCAAGTAATAACGTCTTACCGCAGGTTTGAGGACAAGACGGAGTGGGGCGATCGAGTGGGGTGGATATACGGATCCGTAACCGAGGACATTGTAACCGGCTACCGAATGCACAACCGCGGTTGGCGCTCCATCTACTACATCACCAAGCGCGACGACTTCCGCGGGTCCGCCCCCATCAACCTAACCGACCGCCTCTACCAAGTCCTCCGTTGGGCAACCGGCTCCGTTAAGATCTTCTCCCACAACAACGCCCTATTCGCAAAGAATCGCTTACCTCAACGTCGGAATCTACCCCTTCACCTCCATCTTCCTCCTCGCCTACTGCTTCCTCCCCGCACTCTCCCTCCTCTCCGACCAATTCATAGTCCGAACCCTAAACGCAACGTTCCACGTCTACCTCCTCACCATCACCGTCACCCTCGTGCTCCTCGTGGTCCTTGAAGTCAAGTGGTCCGGAGTTGGGCTTGAGGAGTGGTGGCCGAACGAGCAGTTCTGGCTCATCTCTGGAACCTCCGCGCATTTGTACGCTGTGATCCAAGGCCTTCTAAAAGTCGTCGCCGGGATTGAGATTCCGTTCACTCTGACCTCCAAACTCGCTGCCCCTGATGATGATGATGCTGACGCCTTTACTGACCTCTATGTTGTCAAGTGGACGTCGCTGATGGTGCCCCCAATCACGATCATGATGGTGAACCTCATTGCTATGAAGTGGGGTTCGCAAGGACAGTTTACAGCAGCGTGCCAAAGGGGAGGGAGAGGGGAATGGGAGAGGAGGAGGAGGACGAGAGAGAGGACACAAATTTAATAATTTTGGGAGATAAGGGGGTTAAATACAAAATTTCTCGTCGGATTTTTGATAAAGGTGTCTTATTGACAAAAAGTACGAGCTTTAATGTCTTGTCGTCGTCGGAGTTTTTAAAAATACGAAACTAGCAAAAGCGTTCGTATAAATATACCAATTTGGTATTTTAGCCGTTCAGAAAACACTAACTAAAGAAATACGAAAGTCAAAAAAAACATGTTAAGCGAAAAGTGCTATTTGAAAACTAGAGAAGTTTGAAAGATATTTCAACATAACATCATTTCAAAACCATAGAACAGCGTCATTAAGCAACCAGATTGAAATTTTCAAACTTCCAAAGTTTCAATAAGAAGTTAAAAGTAAATTTTAAACATATTTCAAAATGAAAGTGAAATGTTCAGAAGTTTGAACATATTTCAAAATGAAAGTGAAATGTTCAGAAGTTTGACAAATTGGGACGTTTGAAAAGTAGCAAAAACATTAACAAATTGGAAATTTTGAAAATTAAACTAAAATTTCAGAAATTAGAACTTATGAAAACATAGAAATTTGGAAAACTAGAAATTTTGAAAAAAAAATGTGAAAATTTGAAAAATTTTGTGACTGTTATACAAATTATTTAGGTGTTGAAAACTTTTCAAGATTAAATCTTTTTCTATTACTTATGAAAACATGAAAAAAAGTTTGAGAAGTTGCAAAGTTTGAAAATTAAAATGTAGTGTTAGAGAGTTTGAGAAATTAAAAAGTTTTGAAAAATTGAAAAAGTTCAAAAAATGAAAGATTTGGAAAAATACAAACATATGAAAACTTGGAAAGTTTTGAAAAATTGAAAAAGTTCAAAAAATGAAAGATTTGGAAAAATACAAACATATGAAAACTTGTAAGTTCAAGAAATTGGATAGTTGGGAGAAATGCAAAACATGTGAAAATGGTAGAGAAATGCAAAACATGTGAAAATGGTAGAGAAATGCAAAACATGTGGAAATGGTAGCTGAACATTTTATTAAAGTTATTTCATTATATAAATCATCGAAAACTTTTCAAACTTCAAAAACGTTTAAGATATTGGGAAGTTTTAAAATTAAAGTATAATGTAAAAATGTTTAAGAAACTGGAGAGTTTGAAAACTTGATTAAAGTCAAGGAAGTTTAAAAAATTTATTGTAAGTGAAATGTAAAAAAAAATTATGAAATTGGAAAAAGTAAAATGTCAAAAAAATTGAAAAGTTTGGAGAACTACGCAAAATGCAAAACAAGTGCACTTATCAACTTATGTGGCGTGTAAAGAAACATATTTGAAAAAACTTGGAAAATGTTTAAGAAATTGGAGAGTTATAAAATTAAAGTGAAATTCAAAAAAGAGTAAGTTAGAAAGTTATAAGTTGAAAAAATTTTGAGAAATTAGTGAGTATGAAAATTAAAGTGAAATCTTAAAAAAGATTTAAGTTAAGAAAGTTGTAAGCTAAAAAAAGTTTGAGAAATTGGAAAGTATAAAACTTAAAGTGTAATCTCAAGAAACTTCGAGAAATTGGCAAGTTATGAGAAATTTCTTTAAAATTAAGAAAATGGAAAGCTTAAAAAATGAAAACATGTTAAAATGTATTTGAAAATATGTGAAAGATATATTAACTTTCCAAGATTAACTTTATTTATAAACTACAAAAACTTAATAAAAGGTTATAATATTGGAAAGTTTTTGAAAACTTGAAAAAAGTTTGAAAAAATGTGAACATGCGAAAATGGTATTTAAAACTTTACTAAAAGTAATTTTTTATATAAAATATTGAGAACTTTTTGAAATAAAAAATTTTAAGGTAAACGTGAAATGCCAAAACAGTTTTAAGAATTTGGGAGGTTACAAAAACTTGAAAAATTGGAAAGTAAGAAAATTAAAGTGGATCGTCAAAAAAGTTTGAAATTTTGGAAAGCTTTGAAAATTTTAAAAAAAAAGTTTGGAAAAAAAGAAAGTTCGAGAAATAAAGTAAACAAATGAAAATAAAATTTGAAAATTTTAGAAAATAACTTTATAACTAATCCGTGAAACTTTTCAAAATTATAATGTTGTAAAATAACTAACGCTAATTTATAAAACAGAAAAACTTAATAAAAGTTTTTGAAATTGGAAAGCTTAAAGTTTAAATGAAATGTCAAGTGTTAGAGAAATTGGAAAGTTTTTTTTTAAACTTGAAAAAAGTTTGGAAAAATATGAACATGTGAAAATAGTATTTTTTAACTTTTGTGAAAGTAAATTTTTTATTTAAAGTATTGAAAACTTGTCAAAATAGGAAATTTTAAAGTAAAAGTGAAATGCCAAAAAAGTTTTGAGAATTTCAAAAGTTTATCAAAACTTGAAAAAAGTTTGAAATTTTGGATAGTAAGAACACTAAAGCAGATTGTCAAAAGAGTTTGGAAAATTGAAAAGATTTGAAAACTTCAAAAAATTTAGGAAATAGAGGAAAGTTCGGAAAAAGAAAAGTAAACATATGAAAATGATATTAGAAAACTTTGGAAAATAACTTCATAACTAATCCATTGAAAACTTTTTAAACATTATAATATTGTAAAATGACTAATCAGTTGAATACTTTTTGAAATTAGAATATTGTAAAATATCAAAAAAATTTGAAAAATTGTAAAATTATGACAAACTGAAAAAATGTTTAAGAAATTAGAAAACTTCAAAATTAAAGGGAAATGACAAAAGTTTTGAAAATTTGATAAAAGTGTAATAAACTAAAAATTTTGGAGAACTAAGAAAATTGCAAAACAAGTAGATAAATGTCAAAGTAAAAAAAAAGGACATTTATAAAAAACTTGTAAACTTATAATATCTTGAAAATTTTTTAAGAAATTGGAAAGTTTAAAAATTAAAGTGAAATTCAAAAAATATTGAGAAAGGGAAATATATGCAAACTTGAATGTTTGAAAATTGGAAAGTTCAAAAAAAATGTATAACAAGTTTGAAATTTGAAATTTTTTGAAAGTTATAATATAAATTTATAATTTAAACAGCAAAAAACCTTTCAAACTTGAAATTTATAATTTAAACTGATAAAAACCTTTCAAACTTGAAAAGGTTTGAGAAACCAGAAAGTCTGAAAATTTGGATAAATTGAAATGTCAAAAAAGTTTGGAAATTTTATTAGTTTAAAAATTAAAGTGAAATGTCAAAAAAGTTGGAGAAATTGAAAAGTTTGAGAAACTGGAAAATTTATAACATAAAAGTGAAATGTTAAAAAAAATGGAGATGTTGGAAAACTAAGTCAAACCAAAAACAAGTTTATGTCATAGATTTAAAAGAAGAAACTTGAAAAAGATTTAAAAATCTTGAGAAATTGGAAGTTTTAAAATTAAAGTGATCTCTCAAAAAGGTAGAGAAATTAAAAAGTTATGAGAACTTGAACGAGGTTTGAGAAATTGGAAAGTTTGGAAAAGATGTAAACATGTGAAATGACATTAAGTAAGCCATTGGAGATCTTAAGATAATTTTAACTATATAGTGAAATGTCATTACGTAAACTATTTGACATCTTAAATTTATTTTTAACTTTATGGTGAAATGTCATTAAGGCCAACTACAAAGACATATGTTCATGAAACAATCATATACAGACAACGTGAATACAAGAAATTAGCACCTTAAACATCCTAGCATATAACCATAATACCTTAATTAACTAGCATCACAAGGAAATTTGGACCGACTACAATTTTACATGAAAAGAGCAACTAAAAACCAAATATTAACATCAAAGACCTAGATCGACCGAGAATAAGTAGTAAAAGCTACACAGAACAAGACCCATGCAAATCCTTTAATTAAAATAAAGAAAGATATATACATAGGAAAATATCCAATAAAGAAAGCAAGAATAAACTCACAATTACAACACCGCTTGGAGTCCTCCTCCTACATCTGACCATTGACCATCAGCCCAAAAATCATCAAGTCACAAACCAGAGACTCACATTTTGACCTAAAATTAGGAACAATTACTACAAAGAACAAACCCCAAAATGTCAAAACGATCAAATAAAGCAAGCATCTTACCGATCAGGACGCTTAATCTCCTTCTACTTCTGGCCGTCGAGCATCAGACCAAAAATTGTAAAGCTTGAGAACTCGAAAAGGTTGAAAACTATTTCAAATTTATAGTGAAATGACATTAAGTAAGCCATTGGAGATCTTAAGATAATTTTAACTATATAGTGAAATGTCATTACGTAAACTATTTGACATCTTAAATTTATTTTTAACTTTATGGTGAAATGTCATTAAGGCCAACTACAAAGACATATGTTCATGAAACAATCATATACAGACAACGTGAATACAAGAAATTAGCACCTTAAACATCCTAGCATATAACCATAATACCTTAATTAACTAGCATCACAAGGAAATTTGGACCGACTACAATTACATGAAAAGAGCAACTAAAAACCAAATATTAACATCAAAGACCTAGATCGACCGAGAATAAGTAGTAATAGCTACACAGAACAAGACCCGTGCAAATCCTTTAATTAAAATAAAGAAAGATATATACACAGGAAAATATCCAATAATGAAAGCAAGAATAAACTCACAATTACAACACCGCTTGGAGTCCGCCTCCTACATCTGACCATTGACCATCAGCCCAAAAATCATCAAGTCGCAAACCAGAGACTCACATTTTGACCTAAAATTAGGAACAATTACTACAAAGAACAAACCCCAAAATGTCAAAACGATCAAATAAAGCAAGCATCTTACCGATCAGGACGCTTAATCTCCTTCTACTTCTGGCCGTCGAGCATCAGACCAAAAATTGTAAAGCTTGAGAACTCGAAAAGGTTGAAAACTATTTCAAATTTATCGTGAAATGACATTAAGTAAGCCATTGGAGATCTTAAGATAATTTTAACTATATAGTGAAATGTCATTACGTAAACTATTTGACATCTTAAATTTATTTTTAACTTTATGGTGAAATGTCATTAAGGCCAACTACAAAGACATATGTTCATGAAACAATCATATACAGACAACGTGAATACAAGAAATTAGCACCTTAAACATCCTAGCATATAACCATAATACCTTAATTAACTAGCATCACAAGGAAATTTGGACCGACTACAATTACATGAAAAGAGCAACTAAAAACCAAATATTAACATCAAAGACCTAGATCGACCGAGAATAAGTAGTAATAGCTACACAGAACAAGACCCATGCAAATCCTTTAATTAAAATAAAGAAAGATATATACACAGGAAAATATCCAATAAAGAAAGCAAGAATAAACTCACAATTACAACACCGCTTGGAGTCCTACATCTGACCATTGACCATCAGCCCAAAAATCATCAAGTCGCAAACCAGAGACTCACATTTTGACCTAAAATTAGGAACAATTACTACAAAGAACAAACCCCAAAATGTCAAAACGATCAAATAAAGCAAGCATCTTACCGATCAGGACGCTTAATCTCCTTCTACTTCTGGCCATCGAGCATCAGACCAAAAATTGTAAAGCTTGAGAACTCAAAAAGGTTGAAAACTATTTCAAATTTATAGTGAAACGACATTAAGTAAGCCATTGGAGATCTTAAGATAATTTTAACTATATAGTGAAATGTCATTACGTAAACTATTTGACATCTTAAATTTATTTTTAACTTTATGGTGAAATGTCATTAAGGCCAACTACAAAGACATATGTTCATGAAACAATCATATACAGACAACGTGAATACAAGAAATTAGCACCTTAAACATCCTAGCATATAACCATAATACCTTAATTAACTAGCATCACAAGGAAATTTGGACCGACTACAATTACATGAAAAGAGCAACTAAAAACCAAATATTAACATCAAAGACCTAGATCGACCGAGAATAAGTAGTAATAGCTACACAGAACAAGACCCATGCAAATCCTTTAATTAAAATAAAGAAAGATATATACACAGGAAAATATCCAATAAAGAAAGCAAGAATAAACTCACAATTACAACACCGCTTGGAGTCCTCCTCCTACATCTGACCATTGACCATCAGCCCAAAAATCATCAAGTCGCAAACCAGAGACTCACATTTTGACCTAAAATTAGGAACAATTACTACAAAGAACAAACCCCAAAATGTCAAAACGATCAAATAAAGCAAGCATCTTACCGATCAGGACGCTTAATCTCCTTCTACTTCTGGCCGTCGAGCATCAGACCAAAAATCATGAGGACGTGATGATTTGACCCAAAATTAGCAGCAATGAGATCGGAGAACTACAGAGAGAGGAGATTAGGGTTTTCTCCGAGGGATCGGAGAGAAAGAAACGGGGAATTAGGGTTTTCTGAGAGAAGGGAGAGAGGGACATTTTGAGGAGCGGGTTTATTTTTGGGAGAGGATTTTTTCGGAATTAGGGTTTTTGAAGAACAATATGTATTTTATAGACCGCAGTTTAGCACCGACTCTAATCAGCCTCTCAACGGTAATATAATCGCACTAAGGAAACTATATCACGATCATCAGTTCTCTGACCGAGTCTCTGATCTAAATGGGTGGGAATTTTCCAATGATGAGTTTCAACGGAACTACACCAAATAAAGAAACGGCAGCTGTTAAATGGCGAAATATCAGAGACCCCCTCAAGTTTAGGGGTTAACAAAAAACCTCTTTTAATTCTTAAGATTAAGATTTTATCAAAAAACTCTCATAACAGCGGCTTACTGTAATTTTTCAGATGAATAGGTATAAAATTAAGTAGCGGAATATATTTTCAGTAAAAGATATGGTTCACACTTTAAGAGATTTTTTTAATAAAATCTTCAAGTTAAAAGGGATTTCATAATAACCCCTAAACTTAAAGGGGTTTTATGATTTTGTAGAACATATGGGGTTTGATAAATGTTCAAAGTTAGGGGTTTTATCATATTCAGTCTGATTAAATTACACTATAAATGGATTTTATTTGTCTTTTTCTTTTATGTGGCTCGCATGTGTGATTGTGACTTACATGTTAATTGGGTTTTTCCATATGACCCAATTTTAAAATAGGGTCATTGTATAGAAATCATGTTTGATTATCAATTAACGCATAAACTAACTTTAAAGAAATTTTAATCATAATCAACCATCTAGTGTCACGACCCTAACTTTCAAACCTAAAAGGAATATTGGAGCCGAACTAAACCTGTGAAAAATCCTCTAAAAATATGTATTCATTAACAGACCATCAAAATAAACTCTTCATCAAACTAAAACCAATAATAAATATTCTCTATAATCCCAAAAGCCAAACTACTCTAATTAACTTGATAAAAACAAATATTCATGTTATGGTAATTCACCATCTAAAAACAAAGATATCAAGAAACTGTCTTCATAGAGCCAAAAGAGCTATGGCCCAAACCGACTTAGCAGCCCAAAGCCCAGCCAAGAACGAATCTATCGACCCGCCGAGCAACGAACCATCTTTACCGACACGAAGTGCGGGATTAGTCGACCCTTCATAAATCATAACGACTCCTTAAATAGTCGGCTCGACCACCTACTTGCATGTCTCCTCGGCCGGAAACTCACTCGACTATCTAGTTGGCAAGTCATAAGGACGACCTGAAAACCAACCTGTCTCTACTAAGAGGATAAGATCCAACTAAGCTCCCTTTAAATATACATCAATCGACGCTACAGTATTGATCGATCCCATCAAGATTTCAATTCTGACAAATCTCAGGCATAAACAGCGTACTCCGCTCACAAGTCGTTTCCTAGATATCACTAAGATATCTGCTCGAATGACTTCCTTTCCAATCATCAGCTGACATCTATAAAGCAAAGAATAACTAAGGGAGCGTTTGGCAACCATGGCGTTTTTACCGTTTCAGTTTTTTTTTCAACAAAAATAAAGAAACGCGTTTGGCAACCAGGGCGTTTTTTTTGACTTGTCCCTTTACAAAATCTAAAAATTAAACACTTTTCTCAAAACACCAAAAAGGTGTTTTGAGATTCCGTTTTTTCATCTAAGCCGCCGTCGCCCGCTCGCCCGTCGTTCTCAAAACCCCAAAAAGGTGTTTTGAGATTCCGTTTTTTCATCTAAGCCGCCGTCGCCCGCTCGCCCGTCGT